CTGGTCAAGATTCTGACCTACATAGAAGAACTGACTGACTATCTGACTTCACACTGGTGTTGAAAATCTGAATCTTGCTATTTATGCTGAGGCTGAGTTTGGCAGAGGATTTCCAAACTGCTTTCAGGGTGATGAAGGCGTATCTCGCCTTTCCAATTCTGACTCACACCTTCGTCCTTTCTGTATGCCTGTAGTTGAAACGATACATCCTAGTCAGATAAGTGAAGGAGGGAACCTCTGTTAAGTCCCTCCCGTTGATGGTGATTGGTGGTGATTTTTGTCGCTGTTGATTGGTTATTTTCATAACCTCCATCTTCTCTGTGTTCACCTACAGTCATGTTTTCGCTGACTGCCACCCAGCCAGTCTCTTCAGCCAGTTTGTTGGTTTTCGCCAGCAAGTCTTCGAGTTTGTGTGTCATTAGACATATATCATCCACTCGCGAAGTCCATATCTTTTTGAGTCTTCTTCTTGGTCATCCAGCGTATTCCTGACTCCTCGCTGTTTGTGCACAGTATGACGCATAGTCTAGTCCACTACAATTAGGGATATCATCCTTGGTGATAATGGGCACTGTGTGCCTATAAAACAATCCTGCCCATAAGTTGTACTTCTCTTCTTAAATAAGCATATACATGTTACAACACAAAACAATGAAATAGAAGCTAGTGTACTGCAAATCATCCTTTGCACAGATCTTCCGTACTGTATTATACTTCTATCATTCTTATTCTACTTATTTATCTTCATCTCACGTCTCCAGTGTTTTGACGCAACACATTGAATCGTTTGATCTCTTTGACGTCCAATCTATCTCTCTGATATTCCACATTTACTTTGCATACTACTGATAAATCTTATATCACTAGCATACGTCACAAAAATAAAATATTCTAAAACATTCTACTTTCTGTACACAAATCCTTATCCCATTTAAGTGTGAATGTTTCTCTACCAGGCTGCATCAAAATTTATTCAGCATAATAATCATTTCAATTAATTGTCTTTGAATTTCGTCAGTTAAACCTTTATCCAGCTTATATATCTAACCAGTCAAATGGACTACAGCCTGGTGATTTAACAATCCCCATTTCTATTCAATTTCACCAGAGATTTACTCATGGACTTATACCCTGAGTGACTTCAACGACTCATGGATCGACTTTTTACCAGGGAGTAATCTCGTGGACTTATTATATGCCTATGATATAGTCCTCATCGTAGGTGAAGACACTGACAAAAGGCAGTTTTCTCAACACCTTGAAGAGCAGTAATTTTCAAATATTCGGCATGCGGTACCTCCACACTGGTCAAATGTAAGATGATGTTTCAATACTGGATTTCATTGACTCCTGGCTTTGAATTAGAGAGTGAAGTGGTATAGCACCTTGACCACTTCACTTATTTGGGAAGTTGCATCAACCAACGCCAACGGGTTGATCTCTGACGAAATCTCAACGGATACAGAAGGCTCGTTTCGCTTGAGCTTGTTTACGCCGTCTCTGACTTAGTGGATGTGATATCCGGATGGCTATTAATGAGAGGACGGGTGTATTGCTCGGAATCACTTTTCTCCGTCCTCCTTTACAACTGGCTGGCTGTGAGCAAGACCTGGCGATTGAGAGTGGAGGATATGAAAAGGCTGGCTGGTTGGCTAGCTGTCTTTGATCATAGGTGTCTGCTTTTTGTCTCTAGTGTGAAGACGTATGATAAGGTGAGAAATATTGAAATTAGGCGTGGGTGGAGTGGTAGCTGAGAAGGGAGGTGAAATCAATACACGAGGCTGTGAAGTCACATCGACTGAGTGAGATGGTTAGGACATGTGTAATGCATGGATGCCTATCCATCGCCTTCCTCGACGACGGGAAATGTTAACTGACTGACATAAGATGGGTCAGGTTGTAAAAGAGCTACTTATTGGTGGTCAAAGGATAACATGGCTTCATTAGTCAGTGAAATACACAACAGTTAGTTTAAGCCAACCAGCCAGCCACGTAGAAAGGTGTAGACTGGCCGACTGACTACTGGTTAGGGTCCTCGGGATTGTAAACACCAATGGTTATAGACACTTGATAATATGGCTCAGAATCCTCGTTCTGAATGGCTGGCTCAGATACACCGGCTTTTTGTGACTTATAATACACAAGGGAACTATATCGTTCTTAGATTTTGCCATTCTTTTTACCTCATAGCTCTGTATACAGTCTTCATTTTGCATTTCCTTTTACTTTCTTCTCTTGCTTTATGTGTTACACGGAGGGAGTGTCGTGACTTGAATTGCTGCTGTCTCTGTCTGTCTGGATTCAACATAGAACCTGGCACCGAAGTGCACCAGTTCGAGTTGCCACCTTCCAAATAGCACACAGAGGTAGACAAGAAGATGAGTGGAGAGAATTAATAGAGTTTGACAAATATAGGAGTAAAACAGAATGGGTAATGGTAGAAAGGAATATGAAAGATTACAGAGACTGAATACATCTGCGCCATTGACAACGATTTTGAGCCATGTCACCTATTGTCTCCAGCCATTGATTCCTAGAGTCCCGAGGCCCCCAACCCGGGAGTCTGCATCTCCCTACCTGACTCAGTTTAACTGTCAAGGATTTTATGGATTGATGAGGCCATGTTTTTGTTTGGCCACCACTGGCTCTTTTCCAACCTGCACCTATATCAGCTAGCAATGCCCGTCGGGGGAGGCGGTGGTTAGGCATGCGCAGCACGTGACCTAGCCATCTTAGTCTATGTAACTTTATAGCCTCGTCGATTGATTTTCCCTCTTTGCCCAACACTCGACGCCTAACGTCAACATTACTTACCTTATTAAACCACCTAACGTGAGACAAAGATCGCAGACATCTATGATTGAAAGCAGTCAACCTTTTCATGTCTTCAACGCGTATTGGCCATGTTTCAGAGCCATAGACAAGGACGGAGCGAACTGCTGCACATCAATGCAAAGTTCTATGTTGAAACCAATCAGTCAGTCAGTCAATATTTGTTACAGGATTTCATCATGAGCTGACATTGTTTAGAGAACCATTGGAAAACCAGCAGGGAATACTGGACAGCTGTTTCGCTGTAAAGGAGGACGGAGGAAATTGATTCTGAGCATTACACACGTCCTTTCATTGATAGCCAGCCAGATATCATATCCACTATGCCAGAGACGGAGAAAACTGGTTCAAGCGAAACTAGCCTTCTGTATCCGTTCTCAGATATCGTCAGAGATCAACCAATTGGCGTTGGCTGATGCAACTTCCCAAATAAGTGAAGCGATCAACACACTCTATCACTTCACTCCTTATTTCTAAGCCAGGAGTCAATGTAATCCAGTATTGAAACATCATCTTACATTTAACGGTAGCGAATCACATGCCATACTTTCGTAGATGGCAGCTTCAGAAGACTCGGTATTTTGTTAGCGTCTTCACCTAGGAGGAAGGACTATATCATACCCATGCATATTCTAACTTCACGAGATTAGTCCCTCGTAACAAGTCAATCCCTGAGTCTCTGAAGTGAGTCAGGGTTAAGTTCATTAGTACATCTATGATGAGACTGAATAGAAATGGGGATAATGGGCATCCCTGAAGGACACCACTAATCGTCACCACTTTGGATGACAACTCTCCCTCCGTAGGCTCTTGCCTGGCTAACTGCATGAGTTCGAGTAGAGTGAGTGCCTTGATTAGTTCAATGTATTTTCTCGGCATTCCCTTCACAGCCAAACATCGCCAGAGTACCTCTCGGTCGACAGAATCGAATACCAATTTCAGGTCAAGAAATGTGAAGCTTGTTGGACGCCGACGGTAAGTATGCCTATGTTCCAGAATCTATCGAAGGGTGAAGATATGATCAATACACCCTCTTCCTGGTCTTAAGCCCGCCTAGTTCCTCGTGTTTGTCCCTCCCGTGGACCGCTTAGTCTACGCATTATTATTGAGCCTACACAACTTAAATGGCGCTATAGTACAACTGCGCTTTTGAGAATGAAATCGACGAAAAAAGATCAACACACTATCTCAGCTGTTGAACTTCTTGTTTGTTTGTTTGCTTTTTTTCCGCCCTCAAATAAATGAATAGAGAAAAATAAGAAAAGACGACTGTATATAACTAATCCACAAAGTAAAGACATTCTGGTATAACCCAACCCTTACTCCTAAAAATTCCTTAACTCTCGCATTCTGCCTATTATTCTCTATTGTTCCCCTTAGTTTTCTCTGGGCTGCTGAAGAAAGACTACACCTTATTATACAGGATGTCAGAGGTTGTCATCAGGGTAAGCAACGTGCCACTTAACCAGCTTTTTAATATTCTGGTTGACAGGCACATGGACTCATGTGAAAAATGGGCTAAATCCATTTTATCTATCTAACTCACACCACCCTCTTCATTCACAACTCTCCCCTTGTATCTATCTCATCAGGCAAAACCAGAAGCCTATATAGAAAACTATACGCTGGCACTAACAAGTACAAAAACTCAACCATACCCTACTTAGCTCGTGTTCTGTGCGATAAAGAAAGCATTAGGCGTAAAAGCCATAACTTATTAAATAGTCATTAGAACAACTGGATCTCGTCTTTCCAACTCATATCATTTACAGGTACGTTTTATTTCTTTCTTTTTTTTCTTATGTGCTGTTGTGTTTCTCTCTTCCTTGCAAACTCTACTTAAAACATTCTTGTTCGTTCTTTCACACTCTGTATATCTCGACCTTTGTGTTACCGCTTACACCAGTAAATATGCTAGCACCTAATTTTCTAACACCTTCAAAAACACTCTGTTTAATTTTGACTTTGCTACCGACATGCCCATATGTTGTTGTCATAATGAACTGAGATTACCCTTAATCTATGTAGAATTTTATTTTATTGTTAATTTACTAACTGGATGCAATACTGTCTGTAGTAAAATGCTGAGAATTCCATTCTGTATCACAAGTGCTGTTTTGGAATAAAGGAAATAATTATTATCATTATTATTATTATAAAACAGTGATTCCCCTTCTCAGTAATAATGAACACAAATGAAGAAATAAATAATAAAAAAAATAAAACAACTAATATTACAATTATTATTATTATTATTATTCACACAATTCTATTTTATACAAATTTCATAGTTTTTCTCTGTAAGGCGTATTCTTTACACATCTCATCCTACTTAACTTTCATTTTTAAATGACTTGAAGAAGCCGGTGACTGGGGTGTATCATTGAAAAATGGTGTATCAACAGGACGAGGTTTCAAGCGTGACTTATTCTCATCTTTTTTATACGTATGTCTTGAATCTGAAGATTTTGTTGGCTTTCTCACTGGTGATACTTGTACTTTAGACTGTTTTGATGATGTGTGTTTATGAGATTTACGATGTTGATGATGATAATGGCGATCATGATCATGATCGTCATGATCGCGATCATGATGATTGCGATCATGATGGTCATGATGACGATGTGATTTCTTTTTAGACAATCCATGTTTGTCTTTAGACGGTTGACTATTCTTTTTTCTATGCTTAGTATTACTATTATTATGATGATGGTGATGGTGATCTGAATCGTTGGATTGTGATTCACTGTCCGACGATGAATCCGAAGACGATGATGATGATGACGAGGAGGAGGAGGAGGACGACGACGACGACGACGAAATAGATATCTCGCCTAATATAGACGAAGGAATTCTACTATTGACTTCATCAGTATCTTTTTTAGCTAAAGCTGTATCTCTTGACGCTTGTAAGTGTTCACGAAGATCTAATGTTAAACCGCCTAAACCAATAGTTGTTAAAAAGTTGATTGCAAATCGTGTATCCTTAGGATTATCACGTGGCAACAAGCCAGCAAAAAATGGTTGTAATGTTTCATCACGTAGTCTTGTCTGTAATTTTGATAAACCCATAAATGAACATAGTTCAAGAAAAAGATGTTTTAAAAATATACGTCCCGATGATGTAGTATCACGTTCATTTAAACGTACACATTCAAATACTCCCCAGGATATAGAATCGGAGTATAAGAGATGTGCAAATAAAAAGGCTACATTACGTAATTTAGCTGTCTCCAATCGATGAATTATTGCATATTGTTCAGCGAATATTTTTTCAAATTGAGCAACATAACTCCGTGGTGGACCGGATTCTTCTACTACTACAGCAGGCGTTGAAGCTTCTTCTTTAGAAGTAGGTTTAACAACTTCAGCTTTACTTCTATATCGACTACCAGGACCAAGATCAGAGTTGACAGAAACACTAGTACTACCAGAACTGGGTGCTGGTGCACTAGACGGGAAAACAACTCGACAAAGTCTTTGAGCTAATCGACCATATCTACTTTCATAACTACGTGTTTGTGCACAACAATCTAAAACCATAGAGGCTACTTCATATTCTTCTCCAGGTTTAATTTTCAATTGTAATAAACGATGACCAGCTTCATCTGCACTCAAACTACTCTGTAGCATAAGATAGATAGTACGACGAAGATGAACTAGATTTGTCTCTGTTTGATCAATTATAGTCTGCTGATTTTCTGCTGTTGCAGCAGCACCACGAAGACGTTCCTCATTCTCTTCATCGTCATCATCATCACCATCTGATCCATCAGAATCACTACCTTCATTGTCATCATTCGAGTCCCCACCGTCAGAGTCTTCATTCGATTCAAACAATGCTGCTTTGATTTCCGCATATTTCGCTTCATTAGCTAAAAAATCTGGATCAAATTTAAAAACATTTAAATATTCCTCTGGATCAACTTGATCAAGTAGGGAAGTTGTATGCGTGATTTGATCACTTTCTTGAATTAAATCAAGTTCTGGTAGAACAATCGGATGATCTTTCCATCCATCTCGACGGATCTGTAAGAGAGAAAAAAAGAAAGAATATGAACAAATAGATAACAATCAATCAATCAATCAATCAGGAAGACTACCATCTCATCTCTTTTAAGTTCAACTGACTGAATAACTAACTGATTATTTAGTTTCAACATAGAACTTTGCATCGATGTGCAGCAATTCAAGTCACCACACTCCCTCCGTGTAACACATAAAGCAAGAGAAGAAAGTAAAAGGAAATGCAAAATGAAGACTGTATACAGAGCTATGAGGTAAAAAGAATGGCAAAATCTAAGAACGATATAGTTCCCTTGTGTATTATAAGTCACAAAAAGCCGGTGTATCTGAGCCAGCCATTCAGAACGAGGATTCTGAGCCATATTATCAAGTGTCTATAACCATTGGTGTTTACAATCCCGAGGACCCTAACCAGTAGTCAGTCGGCCAGTCTACACCTTTCTACGTGGCTGGCTGGCTGGCTTAAACTAACTGTTGTGTATTTCACTGACTAATGAAGCCATGTTATCCTTTGACCACCAATAAGTAGCTCTTTTACAACCTGACCCATCTTATGTCAGCCAGTTAACATTTCCCGTCGTCGAGGAAGGCGATGGATAGGCATCCATGCATTACACATGTCCTAACCATCTCACTCAGTCGATGTGACTTCACAGTCTCGTGCATTGATTTCACCTCCCTTCTCAGCTACCACTCCTCCCACGCCTAACCTCAATATTTCTAACCTTATCACACGTGTTCACACTAGAGACAAAAAGCAGACACCTATGATCAAAGACAGCTAGCCAACCAGCCAGCCTTTTCATATTCTCCACTCTCAATCGCCAGGTCTCGCTCACAGCCAGCCAGTTGTAAAGGAGGACGGAGAAAAGTGATTCCGAGCAATACACCCGTCCTCTCATTAATAGCCATCCGGATATCACATCCACTAAGTCAGAGACGGCGTAAACAAGCTCAAGCGAAACGAGCCTTCTGTATCCGTTGAGATTTCGTCAGAGATCAACCCGTTGGCGTTGGTTGATGCAACTTCCCAAATAAGTGAAGTGGTCAAGGTGCTATACCACTTCACTCTCTAATTCAAAGCCAGGAGTCAATGAAATCCAGTATTGAAACGTCATCTTACATTTGACCGGTGTGGAGGAATCGCATGCCGAATATTTGAAAATTGCTGCTCTTCAAGGTGTTGAGAAGGCTGTATTTTGTTAGCCTCTTCACCTACGAAGAGGACTATATTATCCACATATAATAAGCCTACGAGATTACTCCCTGGTAACAAGTCGATCCATGAGTCGTTGAAGTCACTCAGGGTATAAGTCCATGAGTAAATCTCTGATGAAATTGAATAGAAATGGGGATTGTTAAGTTACCAAGGTGTAGTCCATTTGACTGGTTAGATATATAAGCTTGATAAAGGTTTAACTGACGAAATTCAAAGGCAATTAATTGAAATGATTATTATGCTGAATAAATTTTGATGCGGCCTGGTAGAGAAACATTCACACTTAAATGGGATAAGGATTTGTGTACAGAAAGTAGAATGTTTTAGAATATTTTATTTTTGTGACGTATGCTAGTGATATAAGATTTATCAGTAGTATGCAAAGTAAATGTGGAATATCAGAGAGATAGATTTGACGTCAAAGAGATCAAACGATTCAATGTGTTGCGTCAAAACATTGGAGACGTGAGATGAAGATAAATAAGTACAATGAGAATGATAGAAGTAGAATACAGTACGGAAGATCTGTGCAGTACACTAGCTTCTATTTCATTGTTTTGTGTTGTAACATGTATATGCTTATTTAAGAAGAGAAGTACAACTTATGGGCAGGATTGTTTTATAGGCACACAGTGCCCATTATCACCAAGGATGATATCCCTAATTGTAGTGGACTAGACTATGCATCATACTGTGCACAAACAGCGAGGAGTCAGGAATACGCTGGATGACCAAGAAGAAGACTCAAAAAGATATGGACTTCGCGAGTGGATGATATATGTCTAATGACACACAAACTCGAAGACTTGCTGGCGAAAACCAACAAACTGGCTGAAGAGACTGGCTGGGTGGCAGTCAGCGAAAACAGGACTGTAGGTGAACACAGAGAAGATGGAGGTTATGAAAATAACCAATCAACAGCAACAAAAATCACCACCAATCACTATCAACGGGAGGGACTTAACAGAGGTTCCCTCCTTCACTTATCCGACTAGGAAGTATCGTTTCAATGACCGACATAAGGAACGGACGAAGATGTTATAGTCAGAATCGGAAAGACAAGGCAAGATACGCCTTCATCAACCTGAAACCCGTTAGGAAATCTTCTGCCACATTCAGCTTCAGCATAAAAAGCAATATTCGGCTTTTCAACACCAATGTGAAGCCAGTCAGTTAGTCAGTTCTTCTATGTAGGTCAGAATCTTGACCAGTGCGTCATGAAAAGGATTTCTAACAAGTTGAAGACTTTCATCAACATCTGACACCCTCCCCGGCTGCATACTGAAGATCAAATGATGGGCCAGAAAGAATAAGCAACAAGAAGCTCTATAGTGGAACAAACCAAATATGAGCCGATCGCTTATCAAATATGTAGGAGATAATGGATATGGGGATCCGGCATACATTGAGGAGACCGTCAAATGGCATAGCTCGCCGGGCCAATGCTCGACTAGAATGGGAGTGGGAAGCGACGAGTGGTTCGTCGCTTTAACAGTGACATGGAGGAGATAGTGTGGAGAAGAAAGGAGAGAGTTTGGCCAATCGTGGACCCACGTTGAAGAGGACGGCCTATGGTTCCATGGATGAACGCAAACGTCAACCATGCATACACATGTGGTGGTTCAGCGATCGATTTTCGGTTGATGCATTTTTAAACCTTCCCAAAGTGGTAGTTGCCTCAGTGGTAAAATGAGAAGGTTGAAGTTGGGACTAGCAATCCCAACCTGTGGAAATAAACCCCACTGTTATTGAAAGTACAAAGCTGTAGCTTAAAGCCTCATCGTTCTACTCAGAAAGTGAAGGAGTAGGAAGAAAGAAATCACCCAGATTTTCACTTACATTGTATTTTAATCTGCCAAAGTATTTAGTGTCGTTTTGGCTCACAAATCAATACAAATTATACGTTTCAATTTTACATTTACATGTATATTTTGTCATAATTAATAATATCAATAACTATTTAGATAAATAGACTTTCAGTTTACGTGGAACCCTAAGAGAAATGTGATTAGCCAACCTTCGAATTATACAAATCGAACTATTACGATTACTAATGAATAATAAAATATGAACTTCCAGTCGTGATTTGCCTAGCTAGGAGTATTGACGTCGAAAACACCGCTAGAGAATGAGTCACAATAAGAGAAACAGTAATATTAGATGGTTGTAGGCAATCGGCCACAGGAAGACTTGCTCGAAAACGGTTTCGTGATAGTTGAAGCCCAACCAGTCACCAAGGCCTATCTGCAACCGCCTCGAAGGAACTCATGTCCCACATCACCCAGTGATTACTGCAGTCAGAGACGTTACCAGTGAGCTAGCTAGCTATTCGGGCTCGCGATTGACCTTCTGTAGGACTGTAGTGGGTATTTTTGATTGGACACTAGTCAGTAGCTAGTGTGATGTGGTGTGTGTGTGTGTGTGTAGTCCTTCATTTAGTGCAGGCTGAATTCTCTCAGTCAGTCAGTCAGATTTGCAATGTGGCCACCATTCTAGGTGGCTCGCCATCACGATGCACATCGATTTGGTGATATTAGATAGTTGGACGTTGGTTTCGCGCTAGTTAGCACTCGTCAGAAGGGATCTCAAAAGGGACATGAGTTCCTTAAAGGTGACTACAGATACGCCTTGCTGACTGGAGAGTGCCAACTAGCACGAGACCTAGGTCAGGCAAGGCTTCCTATGACCGATTGCCTCCAACTATCTAATATCATGAAATTGATGAGCAACGCGATAGTGAGCTACCTAGAATGGTAGCTTCATTGCAAACGTGACTGGCTGACTGACTGACTGACTGATAGAATTCAGTGTGTACCAAAGAATGGACTAGACAAGTCATACTAGTTACTGACTAGCGTCTAAAAAAAGAACAAAGTAAGAAGACTTATAGTCAAGCTAAACCTCTGAGTCTGAAAGCACTACATACATTCATTCACTTCCCCGAGCCATAGTATCGTTCTTACTATAAGTTTGCTTCATTCTATTACGTAAAATTATTGTTCTGATTTGCCCTATTCTCTGCTCTCTTCTTCACTTAAGCCCACGATTGTACATAAGCCCTCATCGCCTCCATTTTACCCTCGAAATAATGCCCAACTAGTCGTCTCCCATTCGGATTCCACTTGACCAATAGCCTCCATTGGAATGCAATATCATTCGACCGTCTCCTCACCATGCGCCCAGTCCATATCCATTCTCTCCTTAGCATATTTGTTGAACAATAGATTCTTGGTCGGTTTGTTATCGGAGTCTCTTGTCGCTAATGCTTTCTGGCCTACCGGCCAGCCGGCCATTTGATCTTCAATATGGATCCAGTGAAGTGTACAGATGTTGATAAAAGTCTCCAACCTGTTCAAAGTGCTTTTCGTGACACACTAGCCAAGTTTCCGAGGTATATAGAAGAATTGACTGACTGACTGACTTAGCGTTGGTATTGGGAATCCGTATCTTGTTGTTTATGCTGACTGGAGGTGGAGTGCAAAAGACTAACTACTAAACTAATTTTAGAGTGTTCGTTTGTCAGTTAGTCGTTTTTGCGCACTTTTATTACACACATCATCCCAACTTCTGCTCTCTTCTTTCTATTATTTCTAATTTCCAATTAATCATCTCCTTACACCTTATATTATGTATAGCCGTTTTTGAGGATACATTTCACCAGTATCTGATTGGCCTTATGAATGTTTTGTTGAATATACTATATAGGAAAAATCCCCATTAAGACATTTAGAAAGCAGAAGGATCGATAGAAGAAATATTTACTTTTCAATTAGATCCTAGTTAT